TAAAAAAAGCAATATTAACACATTCACAATCAATAATTTTTTATGAATCTTATGACATTGAAGATAATTTTAATAATCTCTTATTACCAACTTTTAAGAATTTAAGGACTTTAGAGTTATCAATTTATTCTATTAGTAAAATGATAAATTTGAAAAATATTTCACTGCCAAATATTGAATCTATAAAATTATATATTGCTTCTCAACTATTTCTATCAGACTTGTCTGATTTTATTAATATCAATGGAAAAAATCTTAAAAATCTGTATGTTTATGGTTGTTACAGTGATGTATCCTTTGGAAAGCTATTTCAATCAATTGCACAATATTGTAAAAATTTAGAAGATTTAACTATAATGTATATGGATGAACTAGACCAGGAATTGATGGAAATACTTAATAATTGCATTAAATTAAAAAGTATTAGATTTAATAAATATCATGGGAGTATAGATTTTGATAAAATATTGACAGTATTAAATGAAACTTTACCAGGAAAATTAAGGTCAATAACTTTCACTTATAATGTTTATAATGTTAGTAACCACTCTTTGGATGTTCTAATGAAGAATTGGAGAGGACCCAAACCTTTAGTGATAGGATTTGATGTATATAAATATGAAGCTTTGCTAGAAAGTGATGCAAGAAAAATATTAGAAAAATATCAAGATTTAGGGTTTTTAATAATCAATATAAAATAATCTGGAAAATTGTAATTTGTTCAATTAAAAACAGTTTGATGAATTAGAAAAAACCAGAAAAATATTTGAGGAAGCTGATAAAAAACTTTTTAATTTTTCAACAATTATAGCAACTGTTCATCTAAATACTCTTTATACAAGTAGAATAATTGAATTTTATAACCCTACCTCAATTATTAGTATATCAGATGATTTATTTAATTTATGAATAAATTTTATTCATTAATCTTTTTATTATTATAAGAAAGTGTTATATAAGTTATTTCAAACACAAGGAAGGGATTACTCTAAATTAAAATAGACAAGTATAAATAATAAGAAGTAGTTGTTCACTATGCCTCTTATTGTTATAATTATAATTATAATTATATTCAAGCATTTATAATTTATTTTTTAATATTTTATATTTTATTTTATTTTTGTATCTATAAATAATAATAAATTTAATAAAGGTCATTAATAAAAAATTCCTTCTTTTTCATGAAGCATTCCTCTAGTTAATAATTAATTAATTTAACACATAAAATTTTGACATTTTTAATACATGTTGATTTGTGCTATATATAAAAATTTTTCATAGATCTCAAACTTATAAAAAATCACCATATAAATGAACTATCCTCTCTTCTCTTCTCTTCTCTTCTCTGCAAGTTTATAAGAAATTAAAACCTTTGCCGTACGATTCTAATATACCAGAATAGTAAAAAAACAGTGACACGACGAATATTCAATCTTTTATTTTACCAAAACCTAAGCTACATATGATATAAAATTAATAAGTATATTTTGTGGAATTGCCATTTTGGTGGGTGAAAATAATGTTGTTTATATGGAGGGAGGATGTCTACAATGTTATGTCAAAGGAAAAACTTCCATCATAAAGTTGGAATGGTTACAAAAGTTCTCAAAAACATTAATTACAAACTATTTAATCAATTAAAAAGCTAAATCACTAAAATTACGCTTCATTCCTTAAACCTAGACTATTACTGTTTCACATGACATTCCCAACAATCAAAGACAACCAAATTTTTGCTTCTACTGAAATCTAAATCTTTACTAAAATTGGATGATTTATTATTTTTATAACAAGACACTAAAAATTACAGTTTTTGCAAGAACTATTTTTAATAAAATACAAGCCAATTGAAATTTCACATCCAAATACCAATACCTATTAATATTACCACCATCATCAACCACCCAATTATTCAATTTCACATTTATCTAAATGATCATTTTTTTAATATTTTTTCAATTTCTTCAATTTTATCTTTGACTTGGTCCAAATCACATTTTTCCGGAGCTTTAACAAGGTCCCTGACTTTCCTGGAAATAAATGGTGTATTAATATTTTCTGAATTGTCAATTTCATTAATTTTTTTCCGAACATCTTCAATTGGAACTGAATAACACCTAATAAAGTAAAAAAATAATTAAATGATTTTTTCAAGCAAATTTATAATTATATACAAACTTGTACTATACTTACAAAATATCTGGAAACCAATCTCTCCATCTCCGTTGATTGGGAAATAAATAAAATAATTCAATCTCTCTGATAACCTTTGCTCTCTCAGACAAGAATGCTTCTTCTGTATTGTTTTTTTCAATTTCATTACTAAGCAAACCAATAAATAAGTTCATCAAATATACAACTATCAAGAATGAAAATGTCAATACTAATATTACTAGATAAGGATTTTCTACAGATGACCAAGCTCCAAGTGCACTACTGTCACCTATAGTAGTGATAATATTTTTTTATTAGGAAAAAATTATAAATTATTATTATTATTATCATTAAAAAAAACTTGTTTATTTACCTGTAAGGAAATTATACATTGCCAACATTGAAGTAGGAAAATAGGCAAACATGTTGACTGAATCATCAGGCTTTTTCACAAAATATGTAGTAGTATTATATATATTGTCTGTAAATATGGTATAATTATCAACAAGATTCCAAGGATTGTTAGGATCATCATTGATAGTAGGTGCATCTAAATCATATTGTTCAGTTGGTCTTAATAATATGTGTAATGCATGTGAAAAACTTAAAACAATTAAAAACAATATCAACAAAAATGAAAAGACACATTGTGCCACTCCAATAATTATTGCATAATAAACTCCAAAAGATCTGAAAGCTCTAAATAATAACATGAATCTCAAATCTAATAATAGATTAGTCAATGAAATCATCCATATTGCTGGTGGTGTGTCATAATACAACCAATGGGCTGATGCAATAATTGGTAATAAAAAGGCACCAAGATCTAATATCAATAATAATAATTAATATTAAATATTATATTTTAAATAATTATATTATAAAAAAATAATATATAATACCAAAATAATTCCAAGGATCTTTCATATAATTTATTCCACCCCAAATAAACTGTCTGAATTCAACACTCACAAAAAATAAACCTATTGCAATACAGACAATCAATGATTTTTTTCTTTTAATATCAGTAAAGTCATCTGGATTACTAGTGGTAGGAATAGCAAAACCTAATAAAAATATTATATAAATCATTGATACTCCTATATGATATTTTCTTCCAAAATGGCTCCACTTGTAATCCAAGATAAATTTTCCATTCCAATGCTTATAAATTTCCAAATTTTCTGATTCAACAAAAATGTTTGATTCTGGTTTAATCATTTCCCATGCAAAATTGTAATTACTATCATAATTCATAAACCCTGGGAAGGGAATTAAAAGCATCACACAAGCCTTTTCACTTTCAAGCTCACTAATGTCAAAAACATGCCTTGAATATGATGTAATTTTTTTATATAAAGAATCTCTAAAAAATCTATAAAAATATCTATAAAAATATAAATGCCAAAATTTACTATATTGGAAAATGAATATTTCATGAGGTCTTGCTCGATTAAATAACCCAGAGTAAGCAATCTTATCATCAAATTGAAGTAACATTGCTGAATTTTGAACAAAAAATTCTGAGATTAATCTTTGATAACTTCTGCCTAATTGTGGCAGTTTAACAATAATAATTTTTAATAGACTGATGTTTGATTCAACATCTTTTATAAACTGTTCAAGACATGACTCAACCACTTCTTTTACAACAAGTTCATTTCTTACTTTTAATGCCTCACTTAAAACAATATCTCCATATTTGGTGAGATAATAGAAATCTTTTGTCAAGTATTGAATCATCTCTTTATAAGGGTGTCTAGAAATTTGGTTTTGGATTTGATCTTTGCTGGTGTAATTTTTTTTAATTTCTTCAAAAAAATGGTCAACATCAAATATATAACCATCATAATCTTCTTCAATAGACTTGATGTTTTCTTCTAAACTTTCTATACTCAAGTTATGACTTTTAATATATCTAACATATATTGATTTATTTTTTTCATGAACAGCAAAAAGTTGCATATAATTTTTAGTTATTAAGATTAACCTATCATCAAATGACTTGCATTTAATGAATTTTTCATCATATGATAAATCATATTCACTACCACTGTTGCTGTTTTTGTTTAGAGCTCTTATATTTATATGTTGACATTCTTTGTTATGAGTTATGATCCATTTATAATTCTTTCCATTTTTAATGATAGGGTTTTCATATAGTTTATTAGCAATGAGATCTTCAGCCCTCTTTTTAATTAGTTTACCGATTGTTTGGCAATTTTTGCTACTGTCACATACACCAGGGTTCAATACTTTGATATCCACAAGTATGTTTTTGTATATTTTATGCAATTGTTGACCCATATAATAAATTTCATAATTTTTCAATCTATGCTTCTTTATTTCTTTTGACATTTTATCATTAATGAGTTCTTTAGTGCAAATACGATCATCACTAACCATGACAATATAATCATCATCTACAATTGGTCCAAATATAATATTCTTATTCTTCTTATCATCATTATTAAAAATATGTGTGATATTTACAGAAGTGGTAAGTTTAAGATTGTAAGGGTCCATTAACACACAATTATTTTCTCCATTTTCTTTATCAAAATATATGACTAACAAAAACTCCTTATATTTTAATTTTTTTAATTTTGCTAATCTTCCTTTTAATTTTGTTAATTCTGTTAATTTTTCTTTGTTCTTTGTTGAGCATTGATTCAAAATATCATTGTTGATTTTATTGATTTCATTTTCTAATTGCATTAATTCTTTTTCTTCTATTTTTTCTACTTTTCCTCTTGTTGATTGATTCAAAATATCACTAATTCTTTTGATCTTATTTTCTAATTTTGTTAAATATTCTTTTTTCTCTGATTTCTCTGATGTCCAATATTTTTCCAAAGAAGCTTTATGAATTTTATTGACTTCATCTTCTAAACATGCTAATTTTTTTTTGTCCTCTCTTCTTTCCTTCCAATATTTTTTTGAAGAAACCTCTTTGACTTTATTAATTTTATTATTGAATTTTGCTATATCTTCTTCTCTTTCTTTATTTGTTGTTGATTCCCAATATTTTGTCGAAATCTTATTAATTTCATCATTTAAACTTGATAAATCATCATCTGCATTTTCTTTTGTTAAGTCCAAATATTGAGTCCAAATATCATCGAATAATCCTTTATTTGATTTTTCCTCCAATTCAGCCACCACATCATCATTTTCCTCCTCAAATACCAATGTGTCACTTTTTACATAAATGAAATCTACTTTTTTAATATGAACTTTTTCCTTAAATTCAACTATAGATGGATTTATATTATATGTTAGATTATTATTATAAATAACAAGAATAATATTAATTATGTATCCCTATAAAAAATAAAATACGAATAGGTACGGGAAAGCGTACAGAACAGTTCGTGTAACAAAAACGAATTTTTTGCATTCCGTATTTTTATTTTCTATAGGGTATATAACAACTACTTACATGATGAAACTGTTATATTACGCTCTAATGAATAGACTACTAGCTTCGAATCTTGACGATAATCAGCCACCATCAATGCCTCTTCCGCATTACTTTTTTTATTAAGAACCATATAATCATTAGATTTTAAGTAATAATTTTGTTTGTAATAGTAATTGTAATTGCCGTAAAAACGATTCTGACTCATACGATCCCATTCCGATATCAATGAATGATTAGCAGCAACAAGAAAATATTTGTCATCAAAATAAATTCTTGGGGTATCGTCACTATAAATATTATGTGTATCAAGAAGTTCGGCACGAGCATCACCTTTGTTATATTTCATGGAATATACTTTATACTTTTTTTCATCTCTATCGCTTCTTCTCAACATTATTAGTTCCACTGATTCAGATTTTGAGTTTCTATTGTTCTGAAAAATAACTTTTGTATGTTTTTCTTTTTTGTTATCTTTTTTTCCTTTTTTTTTTCCTTTTTCTTTTTTTCCTTTTTCTTTTTCATTAATTTTGTCTTTTTCATCAATTTT